AGTGATAAAACTTATATTTACAATTAAATTTCCCATAGGAGGATTGAAATAAGGAAGGAAATTTCTACACACAAATGCTAAAGCTTTAACACCAAAATCTAGTAGAAATAATAACTCAAAACGTACAGAGTAACATGTTAAAGCTAGGCACGATTATAACAAATTCAGTTTATTTGCACATTTAAAATTACAACGTGCAAATATTGTAGCACGTAGTACTAAATAGTTAAGTTATTGTAAGGTATTATGTGTGTCAACAGATGCCTTATCTTTAAGCTACTGCAAATAACTATTGCATTTGTGTTAGTTAATGTTTTTTTGGGTCATTGCCCTCCTGTTTGCTGGCATTTAGCATTTGTCGTGACTATGCATCGTTAATATTGTGTGAAACAGAGCAGACATGCATTGGAGTGGAACGAGGTTGGTCCGGTTAGTGTTTGATCATGTAATGTCATGCAACAGGTTCCTAGCGCCAGGTGCACTGTGCTTTTTTGCTTTGTATCCCAGATAGTATAAGAAACACGGAGATAGATAGCCGAACAAAATTTGTTGAATTTTAAGAAGTTTTTTTTTCCTTTCTCACTCTATTCCTATAAGGAAAGAATGGCAGAAAGGAGTGAAGTGGATTAGACGGAAGAGAAGCGGAGAAGTGGCCACCTAATAATAATAATTACAAACGAATATACATACGATGTGATGAAGGATTCCACCAGTGAAAGTTTGCCACCTAATAATAATAATTACAAACGAATATACATACGATGTGATGAAGGATGATTGAATTTTGTAATATAGTAATTTACAATTATCCATTAGAGCACGATTTCCTTGCAATTAACGGTTATTTCTTAATTAGTTACACGTCAGTTACACGCCGTTGTTTATTAATGATGAACAAATTGTAGTAAAATAAAAACGATATCGTAAAAGATTTATGTTATAACAATTAATCGAAACATCCAGATCATTAGTTGCGAAAATTACCAGCATTTAGGAACCAAGGCTCTCCAGAAAAGAGGTATCAAAAATACAGAGTATAAAATATACCGATAAAGGAAATTTTCAATAGTAATAGTTGCCTGTGACCAGCATGGCTTGTGAGACCGTTGGAGTAAGGAATACAATGCTGCCTAAACCAATTAATGTTTTAGCGTTCGATCTTGTAATCAGTTATGACCATATTTTTGAGACAAATACACATCTGACGATTGAAATGAAATTGAAACTATACTTTCACGGTCTTGTAAAACTGATATAACATAAACTCTCTCTAAACCACAAACACGATTTCCATCCTGTAGCTATTGACTTTCAGACATCACCGCTATTGTGGTAAATCAGAATAGTATGTTGTTGTATAACAAATAATGCGGTTTAAAGATAATAATACGATATTTATAGTACGTAATATTCTGAATATAGTGCACATTTTTCTTATATCATAAGGTGGCAAACGAGCGAGCGGCCACCTGAAATCGCTGATATAGCGAAATGACCGTTGCCCATAGACATACGCAATTGCTTATGCGTTGCCTACCTTTAATCGACGGAGAAGAGGATGCACAGAAAGAAAATATTTTCCCTTTACATGCATCCTCTCATCCGGAAAGTCCACTTCCACTTCCCATCTTTTCCTTATAAGAAAAAGGGTGGGAAGGGAAAGAGGACTAAATTAGGCCTCCGGGACGCACACTCATCAGACGAAACGTGGAATTGCTTCCACTTGACGCCTATCTTCTGTGTGGTCGTGGTATTTCACCGGGCGAACCGGGCTAATTCGTGCGAAGATGTTAAAGCGGGCTCTACCACTGTAACATGTAACATTCTAGCCATTAAGCAATAATGACTTTGTGACATCTGAATGTACAGTTGAAATGGCTGATAAATACTAAATACTTATCAATTAGACTGTCTGTCTGTCTCTTACATGTTTGACGTCACGTCGATTATACAACAGACAGAGTACCGTTAGCTACATATATCTAGGGCTGTCCACTATTCGAGATTGACGTTTATAAGATTGCACGGTACATATTCGGACTACATATTTCACATCCGTCTTGTTTGCGCTGTTGGCAACCAACGTGGTGTTTAAGTCGGTGCAAATCCGACATAATCAGACTCTTCGCCCCCATAGAGACGAAAAAGTTAGTGAAAACTACGTTAAAATACTAAGCATAGACGAAGGGTAAGGAAGACACTGGTCGTCGTATTTTAGCCGGAATATTGTCAGCCCTAGCAACACCGCAATGAATGGAGTTGTGAATCTAAAAATAACTTGTGCACAGATTCGATCTGAATGGGACCCCCACCTCCTTTGCCCCCTCATTAAATAGGGCAGTGTGTCAGGTGTGACGTCACGACTGACGTCATAGCCGCATCCCAGGTACGATCCCGAAACTGGGTCATAGTCGGGAGCTTGGGAATACTGCATTTTAAAAATTAATTTTAAAATTTAAAAGTAATTAAATTTATGCATGGCTGCCGAAATATATAAAGGTTGGTTTACAGTTTTTTATCATATCATACATCATGTATCCAAGTTACTGAACAAGCCCCGACACTTAAACTGGCTCATGGTCACTGTTTCCTTAGTAAATAATAAATGAATAGGTCATAACTATTTTCATTACTGTAAGTGGACATAAAACATATAAAATATGCATGCATAAGACGACAAACATATTTACTAAACTATCAAAAAGAACATCCTGTATTCTCTTTTAAAGATCAGATTTAGAATCACGAAACAATTTTTATTCTAATATAACATGATATTGAATCAAATTTCATATTATCTGGCGTAGCTAATGCGCTTCAAATTGTAAGACGTAAGACTCGGTAGTAACTTTTGATACGCTGCTTAACCTGATAGTTAAATACGCACGCAGATAACAAAAGTCCGCTATTAGTTTTCATTCTATTTAATTTCTAATAGTACCTGCAAATAACTGGCCATACGATTTATATGTGCAATTTACGAATTTCAAGAGTTTCACTGGACCAATTGTTATTGACAGAAGAGTACTACAATATTCGCTTCAGACAATTAATACCATAAAAACAATCATTTATGTTTATCCCAAATAGTAAAAACAACCATATTGATGTTAGTCCGTGTATGCCTTTAGTCTTTATAAAGCTTTTACACACGAGATAGTATTTAAATACTACAAAAGTGAAACACTCTGTATAAGTAGAAAGCATTAGTGAAACGTAAAATGGAAAAGCAAGATGCATTCCGGAACAGTTGCTTGTTAAAAGTTACATTGTACGCGGAGCTTGCAGATGCTTACTTTAGGACAAAGACCTTGATAAAATTTATGAAATACTCCATACAGAAACGGTATTTTCAAGACGATTTTATAAGAAATTTTATTCTAGGAGAAGTTTACAATAGCAAGTCAAGGGAAATATATAATATCAACTTCGTTAACCCAGAATGAAAAAAGTAGCCTATTATATGCCCGCGTACATCTACTATCCGTCCCGTCTAAATCGCTTCACCCGATCGGGATTACCCGGAACGCGTCCTTGCGGACAGACACAGCCAAAATTTTTATATTCATTACTAGCAATGCATACACATCACAATATTACATACAAACACTCCTATTTTATTAATATGTATAAATAGTTATCACAATGTTTACTTTGAGTTTTATTTCAATAATTATATTTTCCAACAACAAAAGAAGACTTTTCTATTGTATCCTGTATAGCGTTCCTATATTTTTTGGTATACAAAATGATTAACATCTTTACATGCCTAAATTGCTTTACAATATGCTATTATATAATTCAACATTAGAACAAAGAGCCTCTAATACCAGCATCAAGAGCTTTAAAACCAATTTAATATTGAGGTAGAGAATTTATTATTCATGCATACAGGTAGACATGAGGTGCAGCTGATGTTAGAATATTACGGAGCTACCAAATGCATTATTTAAAAGAAGCTTTTGCCTGCAACTTCATCTGCGCTAAATAAAAAAAAAGAATAAAATTTTTCTCATATGTCAGCTGAAACTATATTTTATATTTGTGCCAAATTTCAATAAGGTATGTTGAACCATTGCAGTTATCAAGTAAATAAGTAAATCTAACATTATCTTGGGTAATAGGTTGCCTAAATATTCATCCAGCCTATGTTTTACATATATACCAAATCTCTTCAAGATCCATGCAATCATTCTGGATATATCTTCTTACAAACATCCATCCATCACAAAATTCGCATTTATAATATTAGTAAGATGACTATGTATAAATTGAATGTTTTATTAAAGCGCATTTGAATATTTATAAGAACCAGTGGTCAAACAAAATTAATTGATGCTTAACAAAGTATCTTCTATGTTGAAAAAAGAAAATAACATTTCTATCTCTTATATAATAATTGCAAAGTCAAGATGGATGGACAGATCAAGGACAGACTAAGTTTTTTAATTCCATGCGGACAACTCAATCTTATTCTTATAATATTCTATTGGTTGAATTATTGATGTAAATATAATTAAAATAATATTAATATATTTTGTAGTTATAACAAATTAACATTCCTACTGTTAACTGAACTAATATTTTTTTTAATTTCTTATTCAAAGCGATATTGTAAATGAATAATTTAGTCATAATGATTATTTTTTTAAATGACAGAAGAATAAATTGTTTTTCCTTTACTATTTTTTTTTTGCTTTCACTATTCATAAAACGGATATTAGTTAAGGTCTCCTATAGTTCTTTATTTAAATTTATAATCGGTCATAACATTAAATTCCTATTAAAATCAAATAGTAAATGTACGTAATCTAGGTGATTAGTAATTTAGAAAAAGGAATTATATGTTGCGGATATTGATTAGAGCTAACTCTGCTTCTGTCCTATTTTTCTTCTCACCTCAACACAATTGACATTGGCCTTCCCGTAAAGCTAAGCTACAAACACAATCAATACAAGGTGTAAAATAATAGTAGTATGCAAAATAAAGGTGTACTCACGTTTTGAATATGACAGGAAAGAAAAACTGTAAAATAGAGGGAAACACACTTAACAGGCTGCAGTTTAGGAACTAGTAAATAAAGATAGGAAAGGTAAATTATTTTTAAAAAACACAGGAATCGAGCCGACAACTAGCGCCCATCCATTTTCTTTATGTCACTTTCACTTTCATCTGTCAAAACAATATTGCCATCGTTACTTGCTTCTATTCTATTTTAGAGGTCTTTTTTATTTCATCTAGGAAATATTTTAACAAAACATATTCAGGTAAGACTTAAATTGCAATTTCAAATTGTTTAATAGCAACAAATTTCATATTGCAGTACGATAACTGCCATCTATGTTTAAAATGTGGTAACTATAACGAAGCTAATGGGGATGTAGGTTTAACAAATACGTTGTTAGATGGCAGTTTACACAATTGATCTACTTACTCAATGCGCCGTTAGATGGCAGTTTGTTACATTCAACAAAAAATCTTGGAGGTACAAGGGGATAAAATTTAATTTAAAAGAATAAAATGAAACAAATTCATATATCTTGCCAATTGTATTAAAACATTCTACTAACAAACACACGACACGAGGATAAAAACTAAAATGTAACAAAATAAATATATTATTTTCTTTTACCCAGGACACCCATCAAGTGAGATTAAGATCGGGGAACACATATCGTTTGGCGCCAGTATACCGTCGGTTGGTGCAGAATGCGCCGTATCTATCGATAGCCAGCTTACTACCGACGAAGGATACTGCGAATATCACCACAAGAAGCAGCGCACACACCGCGGGGCACAGCACTGCCCCCAGCTTGCTGATCCTTCCCACACGCACAGAGCCGGCCTCTGAATCTATGTTACTGTGGTCATCTGATCGTGTCATATCTGAAATTTATATACTTTTTTAATTATGGAAGAGACAGTGCGATACATGTGACTCTTATTGCACCATAGGAGTATGTTCTTTTGTGTAGCTCTGTGGAATAGAAAGATGGACTCGTAGCATTTGCTTATTCTTGATTCATACTTGGATGGAAACACTGACGATGGCAACCCGTTACAATCCTTTGCTGTAAGGAACGTCTTTCTATTAGAAAATTATAAATCTTTCCTTACTTTTATACTGCTTTTCAGCGTCCCAGAATATTTTGTTGACACATTTTTATTTTATTAACTTCATTGTATTCTTTGTTTGGCCAAAGAATATACGAGGATTAAAATTTTAATTTTGTTTGGTTTTCTTATATAGATATTTGTATAATGTATTATGAAGTTATGAAAATTTGTTTGCATTTAGTCTTTTTGTTTGTGGAGGTAGCACGATTGAATGGCAAATTTTGCTGATAAACTGGTTAAGATGTAAAGCATAATCTGTGACGTGGTACGTCAAACTTCAAGATGTCGTCTTCTGTCATATATCTAAATGTCTAATTTAAAATAACAAAGAGAAGAATATTTTTGTTCAAATTAATATTTCGTGTTTGTGATACTTGGAGAGATAGCGTGATTGTATAACATTATGAGAATACTTTACGTATTAGTATTATCTGTTCTAATAATAATATTAATTCCCGCAATGTTTTATTTGATATCGACAACGGACCAGCTGACACCGGCATTGGGAATTTTTTTAAGAGAAGGCACTGATACGAAAATGGGCTTTGCCGAAAGTAAAAAATAGATAATTAGTAAGACCTGATATATCGTTATATAATCTTCCAAGAATAGTGGATAAATTTTGAAAAAATGTGTTTGTCAGGAAGGAAATTTTTTTAACGTTGAGGTTGCTCGGACATATGCCTCTGCAAAATCAATTTAATAATTTTTTATTTATATACTTTGTTTAGTAGAACCTAGGTTTTAACAGTTATGTACTTAATTCAAAATGTAAACAAAATAAAGGCCTCCATTGGCCGTCGCCGGACGCATTGCACGCACGGATTAAACGGATTTGCTTTGTCTTGATGCGATGCGGGCGGCGCGGATAATGGACGCTCACCTAAAGTCTTTATTTTCTACTTTAGCGCTCAGAAGATTACTTGGAAACGCAATACGTCGCGCCAAAATAAAATTCCAACAATAATATCAGATGAATTTGTTTGTAAGTAGGCAAATATGAAAAATATAATTTTTGACAAAACTTTTTATTTTATTCGTATATAAATAAAGAATAAAAAAAATAAAGAGTATGTTTTAATATATGCTAATTTCTTTGAACAAAATAAACACATGAAAGATTCCTCCACTTTCATACGTCTATATTGATTGAACCAGTATTTATTACTAATATGTACCATAAAAATCACGGATTGGCAAAAAAATTATTATCTCTTGCATTATGATCGTTTTTTACTTTAGTTCTTTTTCCGTTTGAAATCACCAAAGATTTAATAATATTAAATGTTTTCGAACGAATTAAATATGTCACCTGTCAAAAAATTTAAACAGTCAAAATTTAAAGTGACATAAATTTTTTTTCGTAAGATTTCCGTTAAGAATAATGTAAAAGCATGGCTAAAACTGCAATGGTAGTTACCACTTGTGTTGTATCCGTTGTTATTTTATTTGTTATATTCAGTTACTTACTCAGCATTGTAAATCCTGGTCTGATGGTGAACAATGACACTTATTACCGGAGGATGGAAGATCTCGAAGACTTTGACGACAACTTTGATACATTATACCCGAATGAAGAATTAAGTGCGAAAGATAATGTTCATTTTGGATTAGAAAAAGTTCCAGAAGATTATGAAATATTTCCTTATGACGCTGAAAGTAAAGGAAATACTGAGATTGGTAAACGATTTGCACAAAAGCCAGGTCGTATTTCTGCCGTGACAGTCAAAAGTAACATCAAATTTGGAGATCATATACTTACAACAGATGGAAAAAAGCCAGTGACGTTAATTGTATTCCCATTGAAAGATAACAGAAGGATCGCCAGGGATAAGAAAAATAAAAATGTAGATAAGGATCCGACAAATGTTCTTTTCAAAATCGTCGATGATAGCGGTCAAGCGAAATTAGAGGTTATAGCTGATTCAGCTCGATTAGTTTATAAACATGAAGTAAATAATACGAAGAAAGAGTTAGGCATCGATAGCAATATTTTTGAAATAAGACCAAACAATACTCTACTTTACAATGTGAAAGATCAAACGTTCAAAATAGTGAACAACAAAATTCCTTACATTAATAACAATGCTATTTATAATTCTATTCCTCGCCGGAAAAATGTGGGGGAAGTGATGGGAAAGAGTTTAACAACTAAACAGAACACAGATAAAATTAATTCCACTAAAACAGTTACTAAAACTACGAGAAAAACATATTTTTTAACGACTACAGTAATATCAAGTAATTTATCTGTACCAATAGAATTGTCCACAGTAAATGACAACGTAAATTCAGTCTCAGTCATGAGGAAAGAATAACTAAAATGCAATTTAATTGCATACATTTCCAAGAATAAATGATCGATCAATGTAATAGATTTTTAAAATATTCATATTGTTTTTTTTTATAACAAGTGGTTACTTGAAGTGCCAGTTGCCCGTAGAAATCTGCATTTGCAGACGCATTGCTTCCCTCGGACAGAGAACAGACGCTCAAAAAGAGATTATTATTCTAGCCTGTGGGTTACCTCCTCTTCTAAATCTACCGCCCATTCCAATCCTTACCTTATAAGGAAAGGATGGGAAAGGGAAGAGGACTAATATTAGGTCTCCGGCACGTACCCTGGTGAGACAAAACGCGGAATTACTTCAATTTAACGCGTGTCTTCTCCGTGGTCGCGGTTACACTGATCAAATCGACCAACTCGAGTAAAAGATGTTATTTTGGGCTCTTCCACTTGAATATTGATTTGACATTGGATTTGTAAGGGTTTTGATTGGTCTAACATAATTATTAACAGCTCTCGATTTATGAAAATTATATTTTACCATCTTGACTTAGAACGTCAAAGGGCTTTCCTTCAACATGCCTTTATGTTCGTTTATATTTTGTAATACAAATTTTAGTAACATTCCCGATTCCTGATTACACATTGGCCACAAAACTTTACAGTCCCAAACTATTCTAGGTTAGGATACATTGGTATAATTCGACGCCTGGGGCTATCCCCACGTGCAAAGATCGTGGTCTCGCCTCGTCGGTCAAATGTGCAATTATCGGTGTGCCGCTCACCGGCGCCGATTGAAAATGTCATCGAAGTTATACATGGTTAGTTTATAACCTCAAAGCGTTACTATCTCGAATGGCTAACAAACCATTTAAAATTCAACGAATATTTTAGGTACCTATAAAACGAGATAAATACAACTAAAACTTAAAAATCCTGTACACCATAATATGCAATGATTTTTGTTAACATTGATTTTATCTGCATTGTAAAATAGTTGTAGTTGATCTAAGATTTAATAATAAGATAGTGTAGTACCTTAGTATAGATATTTCTTCAAAAGCTATACAGAACAGTGGGAAACGCCAACAACAACACCTTTTGCACGAATGAACCGGCTCTGGTGCAATACCACGACCAAACATAAGACAGGCGTCAAATGGAAGTAATTCAGCGTTGTCTAATAAGTGTGCGTTACGGAAGCCTTATATTAGTCCTCTTTCTCTTCCCCACCCTTTAATGATAAGGAAAGTATATTTGTTGGAGAAGGGGACTCGTAGGAAGGGGAAATATACACTTTCTGTGTGTCAATTAAAGGTAGGCAACGAATCTGCAATTGTGGATGCCTACGGTTAGCGGTTGCTTCACCATTTCTGCGAGTTCAGGTAGCCGGTTTTTACTCGTTTGCACCTTATAATATAAAAAATATTAATCTCCCTTAGTAACCAATTATCAACTCTGAGCATTCTGTGTAAAATTAAAAAAAAATAGTTCTAAATAACGTGATTAAAAAGCCTTAATTTTAGATCTAGTTCGTGTGTTTCGATATCGTCGTGTCTGTAGGTATATCTCGTTTCCGTTGCGACGTATAAATCTATCGAATTAGTATTTATTGAGGCAGTTATGTTTTTTGTGGCTTGACTTATATGTCTATCGGCGCCATATAAAGTCAAAACTTAATCCGGTCGATTTTAGATTAGTTGAAAGCGAAATTAAATGTCTCAAATTTTTTGCAGCATGTTTGCTTGATTTACATTTCTAAAACTAAATTTGTGCCCCGACTTTGCAAGATATTTATTGCTTTATATCTATTAATAGCAAGCAAAGTTGCTTTACATCGACATTCAAAATGATACTCATTTACAAAGCGTGGGATGGACATGAACAAATAACAATCTTACTAATAGTATAAATGCGAATGTTTATATGGATGGATGTTTGTTTGAAGGTATTTCCAGAACGGCTGAATGAAATAAAATTAAATTTGACATTTGACATAGATGTAGAACATAGTCTGGAAGAACACATAGGCTACTTGTAAAGTTTGTTTTCAATCCCGCACAGACGGAGTCGCGGGCGACAGCTAGTAACTTCATAGTTTTGACAACTTTAAGAGAAATACTTCGGTACCATTGATTGATTAGTGATTAATGAAATTGTTGAATAGTTTTGTAATTTTAAAAACATTTTTGTTTTTAGCTTTTCCATAATGTTTGTGTTATTTATCATTCAAACTTTATCTACCCAACCTAAAAAGGTACGGTTAGCAAATATATTTCGATGAGTACCTTTCTTTCTTTATTTCCAACAAAGATTGTAACCAATATATGTATAGTGTATGTCAAAAACAATAGTAACCAATAGTTATGGAACCGGATCAAGTTGCATATTTGAGACAGAGTATTGCAAATCCGGGTCGGGTGACAGGCGGGCGCGGGAGGAGGTCGCGCCTGGTAGGCCATCTGCACACGTAGCCGTCAAGTTACGTCATGACGTATGTGACTGCCTAAAATGTTACATTGATAAATCATTAAGTTTTGTACGTTATGTGTTTTTAATAGCTATGTAGATAGAAACAGATATGAAATTGGTAAATTGAACTTCTTCAACTTGGAAGTACCACGACCATACATACATGGCTTACTCGTTTTGTGTTATTACTTCTAAGATTCATCACATAATTTCTAATTTTCGTCACATCATTTCCGAGTTTCGACATATTGCATTTATAAGGCAGAGTGTGCATGGGATTTTACTTAATTCCTGAGACTTTACTAGCCATTGGGTCACAACACAACAAACTGATACTGTCGTAAGCGCCGTGA